ACGATTCTTACAAGCTAAGAACCCATGTATCTCTATTTTTTCTTGTGTATAAATCTCTTAAACTAGTCAAAGTATAGTATTCGTATAGCATAAATAGGCAAAGTTTGGATCATGCAGCTTAGGTGGTAGGCTATCACGTAAAAGAGTAGAGCATTTCTCATTTACTACTTCCTTATCATCATGTTGATCTTTAATTTCCTTCACAAATTTTGCAAATTGAGGCATTTGAATTAAAAGATCAGAAAAAGGAATGGAAGCATGTACCTTTGTAAGAGTCTCGCAATATTTTCCAAAATGTTTATCGAGCACGGCTTTTGACAACCTTTGCGGGAAGGGCATCGGTTCCTCATAGGCCGGTGGAGCAACATATTTGGGACTTTTTACATCCTCACACTTTTCATCTTTTCTTGACTCCACACTACACACTCTCTCATCTATTTTCCTCAAAAATAATTCATCTCTTCTCAAGAAAACTGCATTGCATTGTTCCTTTTGGACTTTTGCTTGATCATGAAGAGTTGATAAATGACTCACTTGTTGTGAAAGTTGAGAAAGGTGAGTTTCTATCCTCTTATTTTGAGCAATAAGCATTTGAATCGAGCTTTCAAAGTGTTCATTTTGCTTTGCTTGTAGCTCAAATTGCTTTGTTATAAGCTCTTGCTGTCGAAGTTGGGAAGTAGTGAAAGTCTCCATAATGGAATCGAGATTGTATTTTAAAGTTTGCGGTGGTAGTTGTTGATTCATGGGTTGGTGATTAAAAGATGCCCTTGCTTGAAAACTAGGTGGTGGCGACGGAGAATTCAATTGAGCTTGAGTGTTCATAAAAGAGAAGTCCGGATGATTTCTCCACCCTTCATTGTATGTGTTTGAATGAGGATCATACGGCCTTTTAGGATTAGAGGTGTAGAAAGCATTGGCCTCCACAATTGACATCTCACTGGAATTTTTGGGGCAATTAGGTGCAATGTGACCCTGCACATTACACATCTGACAGGTCTCCGGTGAGCTAGTAGATGTTCCGGCTTGGAGTCTGTCAAACTTGCTTGTCAATGCCTGCACAGAGCTAGTCAAAAGAGTTAGAGCATCAACATCTAATTTACCTCCCTTCTTCACACTATGTCGACCTCCTGGATGATAATTATCATTGGTTGCCATCTTCTCAATTAGCTCTTTGGCTTCAGTTGGGTTCTTAGTCATGAGAGAACCCCCGAATGCAGCATCAATGTATATGCGGAACTCATGGGTCAGACCATTGTAGAATGTTTGGATCAACATCCACTCTGGAATACCGTGATGAGGGCATTGTCTCTGTAAGCGCTTGAATTTTCTCCATGCCTCATATAAAGACTCATCATCAGATCGACGAAAGGTAGCTAGCTCGTTCCTTAACCTTGCAGTCTTCTCTTTCCCTATAAATCTTACTAAGAAAGCTTTGGCAAGCTTATCCCATGTATCAAAGGAACCTATACCTTCATCTCGTAACCATTCCTTCGCTCTATCCCGTAGTGAAAAAGGGAACAAACGAAGTCTGATAGCATCATCAGTAACACCGTTGAGCTTTATGGTGTCACACTTCTCCAAGAAACTGTCTATGTGACTAACAGGGCATTCATGAGGTGTGCCTGCAAATGAGTCATTGGAGATGAACTGTATGAATTGAGGTTTTAATTCAAAGCTCTGAGCGGTAATAGGTGGTCTGACAATGTTGGATAGGAGGCCAGTTGCGGTATCAGGAATGTCGTACTCTAATAAAGATTTGATTCTTTCGGTCACTTTACTTGTGTTTTGATATCTCTTTCTTCTACCTCTTCGTCTCCTTGCAGTAGCTTCGATTTCAGAGTCAAAAGGTGTTAAGCTGTCTAAACCTGAACGTCGAGTTTGCATGAAACAAAGAACTAAAGAGAGGAGATCAAAAATACAAGGGACAATAGCCGAAGCAACGAATAAAGCTTAGTAAAAACGAATCACAAATAATCAGAAAGAAATCATTAGTCCCCGGCAACGGCGCCAAAATTTGATAGGCGTGTCGCGTACCTAACAAAAATAACCTAACGAGACCACTACTATGTAGACGGGCAAGTAAGGATCGAATCCCAAGAGACTAAGGTTCACCTAATTAAATAGACTCAAATTATCACTAAGCAAATAACAATCAATGGTGAAATATTCTAAGAACTAATATATAAAGAACTCAATAAATCTAAAGAATGTGATAAATCAATGAACTAAAACATCCAAGATCAAGTATCACCAAAATTACGATCGATGCAATTATCTATCTACCCCTAGCATACAAATCCAATTAACATGGGGAAAAGCAAACCCTAATAATACCAAGGACCTCTCTCGAGTATCAATGGCTTCTCTAACCACAATCAAGCCTATTCTCATGGAATCATGCATATTAGAGACATTAAACACTTTACTTCGCTTCCCAATTATCAATTCAACTACTCTCGTGATGAATCTCAAACCCTAAATTGATCTACTCAAATCCGTTAAAACCCAACTCTCGTTGTGATTAAAACTATGGAATAATAACAATACTAATTATCTCTAATCTAGTGTTGGCATAATCACAATCAAATTAGCATAAATAATCGCAATTGTCATTAGAGAATTTAATGAATCAATTCATGCATCAATCACAATTGGGCTACCCTAGATCTTGGAATATAAAAACTACTCACACATATTGAAATAACTAATAGCAAAAATAATCAAAGAAAACATAATTAAGAAATAAGGGATGAAAGGAAAATACCAAATCTTGAAATAAATGGAGATTGCAAAGTAGAACTTGAATCTTGAATTACAAAAGCAACGTAAAAGTTTTAGAGAAACTAGGTCTCATAATGAATGCTAGATCCTGAAATATAATAAAGTCTGGGGTATTTATACTCCCAACAAAAAAAATAAGAAAACGTAAGAAAATTCAGCGCATAACCCTCCTAAGAGGCATGGACGTGCCTACAAGAGGCACGAACATGCCTACAAGAGGCACGAACATGCCTCACTGCGAAAGTACTACTGCTTGTCTTCCCAAATCCCAATAGCCAATTGATGATAAATATAATTTCCAAGTTTTACTTAGTTACTTCATACTTTCCTAGTACCTAGGGTATATTAAAAAAAATTAGGAAAAAAAAAAAAGAAAATAGGTCACTAGGGAATCTAGGAGATAAAGTAGGTAGGAGGTTAATAATGGGGAGTAGCAGTTACATTTACACGGTTAAAGCAATTATACGGTTAAAGCAATTTTGGGCCTACATGTATTTCTTGTACTTGACTATTTCTAATACTCATCCTATTACACCAATTTTTGTTTGGGCCGGTACCAGGGGCCAGGCCCTTGATGGCCCCCCATGATGATCCGCCATTGAATTGGGAGGCGGGGATTAAGCGAGTTGTGGGTGGGAATTAGGTAGGGGTGGATATCCAAGTGGGGGTGGGGCAGGGATAGTTTTAGAATTGGACCTAGCTTTTTAAAAAATTCGATAACATTTGGTAAATTTTGAAAAACTTCGATGACATTTGGGAAATTTTCAAAAAACTCGATGTCATTTGGTAAAATCATTGATTATCTGAAGCATTCTCTCAACCATGCAAAGTTGCAATAGCATAAAAAAATGCATTGAATTTCCTAAAGAGGAATATTTTGTTAGATATAATGAGCATAATACCTCATTCGATTGTGACACACTGACAATGACAATTCTAATTTTTATTTTTTAATTTTTAATTTTTTTTTTTATCTTTATTTATTTTTTAAGAAGATGACAATTCTAAATTTCTAATGTAGTTATTATTATTATTTTTTTTTTGACACCAATGTAGTTATTATTTTCTTTCTTTTCGAGTAAAATCACTTGCCAAAGTCCCACCCATTTTCTTCGTTCTTAAGCATGTAAATTAAAAATTAAAGGAAAGGTGAGAAAATTATGCATCTCAAATTATAAATTCATAGTCCATCAAAATTTGTCTTTTATTGATGGTCATCAATGCTATTGTAGTAATCTAAGTTTCGGTATTACTTTCAGTTAACTGACATTATTGCTTCAATTAGTCTTACCCATATAGCTAGTGTGAATTCAATCTATGTTTATCTAAACCTCACCAAATTAACCAATGAAATAAAGCAAACGTTATTTTTCGATCTCAGATTAAGCTGATGGTCATCAATTGATGGTCATCAATGCTAATGAAATAAAGTTTAAGCTGATGGTTGAAACCCAGAATCAGTTTATATATTCTATCACATATAAATCATTTTGATTAATATTATTTGTATGTTTAAAATATCTAATCAACTTATCTTTTCCTCGATCAAAGTATGTGTCATATGCTTGTGTTGCTAGTAAAAGACAATGCATGAAGTAATATGCATATATAAAAGTTAAGTTACCATATATGTATAAGTATCACCTACCAACTAAGTGTTGGACTGATACTCTGGTAGTAAAGAAATAACCTATCAGCCAGTCTTAAGGTTGAATATAATGTTCTATCTTTGCTGTGAGCTCTTTAAATAGAAAGTTAGACGGAGATACCTTCCCCTAGTCTCTGAATGTCTAGTCCATTAGACTATTTCTGACAATATGAGTATTGAGCTCCAAGCCTCAAAATGTGGGCACACTTTTCGTGCTTTGGACACAGAGAATAAATTTACATGCAAATGCATCAAGATAAAAACTCATGATAATTTAACGTACAATATACATACATCCATCCACGGATCATCTATTAAATTTCAAATGATATATATCTCATTTTCTTTGTTCACATGCATGTATAAAATCATATATAATGTCAATTATCTAAATGAATATATTATAATATGACAAACATGATGGATCACAAAAATATGTTCATTCTTAGTGATCCGAATATATTATAATATGACAAACATGACGGACCATAAGAATATATTCATTCTTAGTGAGCCAAATATGAATATAAATAGGTAACCTACCTCCGATCCTCAACCAGAGCACATCACAACTCACTACTACGACTACTACAACTTTGTTATTTCCAAGCTTCTTCAATCACCTCTCAACAAATTAAAATGGCTCAAGAAATCGCCCAGGTTCGTACAGAGTTAGCTTGCTTTGCTCCCATAGTTTTTCTCTTTCTTTGTACATAAATTTTACTCCCTCCGTCCCCGAAAGAACGACCCTTTTGGGTTGATTTCGCGGGTATTAAGAAAGTTATTGGAAGTATAAGAGTGCATGGGGAAGCTAAGAAAGTAAATTGAAAAGGGAAATTTACATTGGAATTGCAAGAAAGTAGAGAGAGAAAGTAATAAAAGTATATAAAAAAAGCAAAATTTGCATGGGGAAGCTAATTTTGCACAAATATTATTGCAAATTAGAGGGTATTAAAATGAAAATGGGATGAACATTTTGGGACTAAAATTAGGCCAAAAGGGTCGAACTTTTGAGGACGGAGGGAGTAATAATTTCTTCGAGCTTAATTATTTGATTATTTATGTATGTTGACATTAACTTTAGACTTTGGCAGGAGCACAAGGTTGAAAAATACGGACCTTATGGTTCTCAATTACCTGAAAACTACAGCTTTCAACTTCAAAAGGGTTAAAGTTTCAAGGAAGTCATAGTAAGGCATGGTTACGTTGTGGATGCAATTGGGTTCGTTGTAGCTAAGACATGTGGAGTTACCTACACCATCACCAAGATGTTTGGTGGCAATGGCGGATGCGAGTCAAAGGTGAATACACAATACACTACTCAAAAGCAATTAAGCCAGATGATAGAGTATATATATATATATCAGCTCTAGGCTTTAACTATCAGCTTAAGTTTTTAATTGGTAATAATTCATGTTCTGACATGTTTTCAAATGTAGATTGTGCTCAAGGAAGGTGAAAAAATAACTATAATTAGCGGTACGTATGGAAAGTACGAATATCAAAACAACGAATGCGTGATTGCTACAATGAAGATCCACACCAATTTTATGTCCAATGGGGTATGGACCATTTGGAAAAGGAAAGGGAATTCAATGTCCGCAAGAATTCCCATCACCAATGCTACTAGACGGCTCTATTGTCGGAGTTTTTTGGAAGGCACAACAACTATGTCGAGTCTGTTGGAGTTTTCGTCAAGAGGATGGTGAGACAAGATTATTCATAAACTGTTAAGATCACCAATGCAAGATTTTTCATAATAATGGATATTGCTAATTCTTTTTTGTTGTACGCACCTAATAATGTTATTGTTGGTTTCCATGTCAAATTGATCAGGATTGCCCATGCACTAATTAAGTACGATGCTGAGGCTACCGTGATAGCCTCTAGCTTTCATGGTTTTGCCTTGGAATTTATACGTTTCCAATAAGTCACATACATGTACTATGTAGTATAAGGTGGCCTCTTAAGTGTGATTATATTATTTGTCACCAATAATCAACTTGAGTGATTGTTGTATCATTGTCTACTTTTAATATATAACTACTATTAAGTATTAACAAGTCTTGGTATATCAATGTTTTATTATACTCTCTCTAAATGCATGCTAAGTAATCAGTATATCAAATATCAATGTCTTATATAAGTACATTAATTGAGAAGTAGGCTTGGCTCAGTTGGCCAAGTCTCTCGAATTTCGAGTGAGAGACCTGGGTTCGATTCTCATCAAATTCACCTTGGGAGGATTTCCTTATTCCCCCCTCTCAAGGTGAGTGTTCACCTTACCAATTAAAAAAAAAAATGTCTTATTTTAAACAAAAGAAAAAAATAAAACCAAGCAACACCACGAGGCCACGACCCACCTTCCCCGCCACTACCACTCCTCCCTTTCCCCCTACCAACAGCGCCCTTCCCGCGACCGACCACGTCGACACTATCATGCCGACCGGCAAACCCATTCCACCCCACGATCCTACCCTGAATCCCTTTCTCCATCCCGGCGAACCCCTCCATTGGCCCATGAATTTCAGGACGGAGGGGTTAGGGTGCTCGGATTTTGGAGGAGATCGGCTGTGGGTGGTCGGATTTTGGCGGGGAGGGACTGGGGTGGTCGGCTTTTGGAAGGGAGGGGGTTAGGGTGGTCGGATTTTAGAGGGAAAGGGATGGGGTGGTGGTGACTGGTGGTCAGATTTTGGAGGGGAGGGGGTGGTGGTGCTGCATTCATGGAGGTTGGAAGGAAGAAGAAGAAAGGAAAAAAAAGCTTTTTTTTTTTTTTTTTTAAAGTTTTTTTTAAAAAAATAAAATGAAAAATATTTTTCGGACAAATGAAAATCCAACACGTGGCAGGTGACCTACAATTTTAGGTCAAGTGACCAGTTTGGCCTAATAGATTAAGACACCCCCCAAAGGTTGGATTATTGCTGAATAATCCAAAGGTCGGATTAATAAAATAAGACCACTCAAAGGTTGGATTATTCGAATTAAATTTTCCTTAATAATACATATCTATAAGAATGCAATTGCTGTTTAATTTTGAACAGGTTCGAGAACCCAACACGTACTAAAATGACTCAATCACTCAAATCAAAATATAATCGAACAATTGATAAAACTAGTGACCCGTTACCTAAATTAAACTCGACCTAATCATCAACATATTTGACCCAATACTCAGACTAGAACGAACCCAAAACCAATTAGAATGATACACAACATGTTATTAATTAACCAGATTTTGTGGTATCCCTTAACCCAATATTATCCAATACCTACCTATCTAGAAGATAACAAGAAGCTAAAAGTTAACCTGACTAATATTTAGCCCAACCCGATATACTTAAAACAAGTTGAAAAATTCTAATGTAATCTTATGACTTTTGACTACCACAATTTTTTAAAATGGACGGATGAGATTGTTTGTTTTTTCATTTATTTTTAATTAGTAATTTTAATTAAAAATCACTTTTTAAAATATATATATCTATATATATCTATATATATATATATATGTATACATATATACATATATATATATATACATATATACATATATATATATATATATATACATATATATATATATATATATATATATATATATAGAATTTCGAAAATATTAAAAAATAATTTCTAGAAGATAAAATATATTTAAAATAATCAAAAAATTATTTTTAATTAAAATTACTAATTAAAAAAAATGAAAAAAATAAATAATCTCAGCCGTCCATTTTAAAAAATTATGGTAGTCAAAAGTTATAAGACTACATTAGAATCAGAACAAGTAGTTCGACCAAAGTTCACCTCGAGAATTTGGTTACAATGTCAAAAATATAAATAGTTGATCCAAGAATATTAGTAGAATTGTTTGCTAACATTCATTTGGTTTTAAGGTTTCAAGTTGCTAAAATTTTATTAAAAGTTTGTTACTCACAAAAAGTGTAAATAAAAGTTATTTTCAACATTTAAAGGGTATTTTTCAGCAAAATGTCCTTAAAAAAACACATAGATGGAATAATAAATTGTTTAATTTTTTTTTTAGTGTTATATATAGAAAGTAGTAAGTTAAGTTGTCCCAAAATAAGTGAGAGAATTAAGATACAGATTGAAGATTCATGGATTTTATAGAAGTGTTTGCAACTTTCCTTGTCATTTGTTATGATTTTTAAAGGAAAATAATGCTAGTTATTCAGAATGAAAAGAGTATATACGAAGTATATCATGTCTTGATGAATTTTCTATTTTAAGGCTCCGATAATTTTAAAGCCCTAAGCTATATTGTTGGGCTGCTTACACAACCAAATAGTCGACCATGTTGGTCGTGTTTGGGAGGTATATTTTCTAGAGATCAAAAGGAAGAGCAATTTCAAACTAATTTGGAACTCTTGTTTCATCAAAAGTCATACATTTATCAATTACTATCATACTATTGTTACCAAAAAGTTGGTAATGCATGTTTGCTAGCTAACTTTTCTTGCTCCTTTGCACGCTTAGCCTTTGCTTAACCGGGCCAACTGTATGTCTAATGTAATGTGAAAAAGAAAGTGTTACTTTTCCATTACTTTCTCTGAAAATTCTATTTAAACCTCGTGCATTCTTATTTCATTTTCTAGCTAAAAGCAAGAAAGATACGTAGTATTATTCCTAGATTTTGGGCATTTAACTAATTAGGGGTCAGAGGTGATAATTAAGTTATTGTTCATCAATTATTATTAGCTAATTTTGTGTTCATATTTGATAATGACGTTTGACATATGGTGTGACATTTGATTATTTATGTTTCATCACAAAAAAAAAAAAAAAATATAATAACATGAACATCTTTGATAGAGTATAAAATATATTTTTGGATCGGACCTCAACCATCAGTTTAAGATTTTTGTTGAGTTGGTCCTCTAACATGAGCGCTTAATATTCCACTTAAAGGTGGGGGTGGATGGGATTCAGCTCTGATACCATGTTAAAGGACCACCTCAACCAAAAACTTAAATTGATGATTGAGGCCCAAGAATATATATTATACTCTATCAATCTTTAATCATCTAGCCTTTCAATATTTATGCTACATGCATTTTTACATATTGATCTATCAGTAATAAATGACTAATGACTATACATAATTGTTGTTACTATGTATCATGATATTATTGACCGGAAAATACATATGTGTGATTTAAAGCATCTCAAAGCATAACAGTATGATACCCTAGCCAATAAACACCTATCAATCTTAACCCCATGAGAGGATGAGAGACATGGGGAGATGGTGTCATTTCATGGAGGATGATGAAGATTTCATAAGTACACTATTTAATCCCATTTATTCTCTCCTTTCACACTTTCAAAGTTTCGATGTGTACAATCAAAGTCCAATTCTTATTTCATATTTTTTTCCTCTTTTCATGACAGATGGTTATTAGTGTTATCTATTACGATATTACCTAATCTACAGTAAATTAATTTAAAGTATATGCCACCATATATAACTACGTATGTTCCGTTATGCACATTCCCAATAAGAAATCCGGCTAGCAGGGGATACGATGGAACTAGCTAGAGTATTTGGAAAAATTGATAGAATGATAAATACTATCATCAGAAACCAAATAAAACTTAAGCTCATCAAAACGTACACTAAGATAAAAATATACAGTAAAAGGTATCCATGACTCAACAAATAGCGCACAATTATGTCAAGTAGTCGAAGGTGTAAAATCAGTAAAATCACAACAACAATACGTCATAAAGATTACAAGAAGAAGATTAATTAAAAAGTTTGGCAATAAAACACAAAAGTAAGAACAAAACATAGCAATTATTTGGAGAGATGAGAACAAAGGTGGCGTGCATGCGCATGCACTAAAAAAAAGGCATACAAATTAAAACATGATATGCTTACACTTTTAATTAAATTCCAAACACCAATTACAAATTAAACTACAATTCTTTCTCGAATTTTCATTAATTTTGTATTAAGGTACATTTCACTAATTAAAGTTTTTGTCATCAAACCCACTCAAAAGATAAAATTAACTATAGTATAAAATCATATATATCTTAAAAAATTAAAATCAAAATAAACAAAGAAAAAAAAAAAAGTATTAGAATTATAAACAAAAGCACATGGTCACACCAACACCCTTTATAATAAATCAACATTATAGAAAATGTCAAATGGCTGATCACTACTTTAACCAATCACTTTCTTCCATTTGCCATATAATCCCTAATCATTACCCTAAACATCCCTTTTCTTTACTCTTTTCTTGTATTAATCATGATTATATCTAGCTCATTATCATCATGAAATTAAATTATAAATGACGATTATATATATTTATATTATTATTATTATAACCTAAGAAGAAATATGCTGAGCTCAGGTCCACCATTACCATCCGGGTTTAGCATGTAAAATGCCTCCGAGTCACGGTTTCCTACGACCCGCTCAAACTTGGCTCTCATGTATAGCAACTCTCCCTCGGAACTGGAACCGAAACCTGTTCGATTCTCCACTAGAGGGATAACACCCGCCCCAACTGATACGCTTTGAACCGTACTAAGCACGTGCCAATCAAACTCATTACACGCGCGTGAGTTTGCATACCCGCATTTTCGGCCGTTACAGTACATAGTCCACACGGGCTCAAGGAAAAGCTTAGGCGCGTGCTTCCCACGCCCCGTTGGGTGTGAGCCTCGCTCGCACTCTAGGGCGATCCTCACGAGCCCCGACGACATCTCACGTACTAAAGCCGAGGTAGAGATCGCTAGCTCGATTAGTAGGGCAGGGTCGGCCCTAGGATCATCTTGTACCGCGAATGTTACATGACC